GTTGGATACGACTGAGCAACTCACACTTTCACACTGTGCCTCAGCACGTCCCCAAATTGCTGCTTCAGGGAACAGCCCCATTATATATATATACTTTTTTAACAGAGAACATATACATTCGGAACAACTATAAGCTGAGATTCCCCATGACCGTATTTCCTGTTTCTTAAGATGCCAATATAAGGCCTCAGAAAGGCTTTGGATAACACAAATCCTCACAGTATTCCTATAATAGGGCAGAATTCACTGAATCTAACTGAGTCAGATGTGCTTTAAACATGAATGATAGCCATTATAGTCAGGTCCCCCAAATAAGCCCCAGTCTCATCCAAGAAAGAGCAGTCGCCCCAGCAAGTTTCCAGATGACCCCAGTGAAGAGTCCAGCACCCAGCCTCAGTGAGACACAGAGGAGCCTTCCCAGCCGCTTTTCTAAAGAAGCCTGGGCAGGCCTGGACTCATTCTCGGCATTGGCCAATAAGTCTGGAACAGGGCCCCGTACCACATGAATTATCTTCATCCTGCCAACTGCTTCTTGGCTTTGAGCAGCTGTGGGAGCAGCTGGTTTTACAACACAGAGTGAGCCCTTGTTCTGAGGTAGGAGAGTTCTGTATTCTGTGAAAAACTTGTAAGTTTGGGTCTCTTTACAACTACCTTCATGAGCTTTACCCTGAAGATCTGGTGTGTGGTTCTGGCTATTCATGGATCTTGCGAAGAACCAAACAACCTATGATGGTTTTATCCAGAGGAGATCTTCCCACAACTATAAAAGTCACCTTTATCTAAGTCTTTGCCTCAATCTGAAAATGAAGAGTTGTAAGGCAAGACTTATCCCTGAACCAGTGTAACTAAAGATCAACCGTATTTCAGGAATGGTTGATGGAACACTAGAATTTATTCTTGCTTCCCCTGCCCCAATAAACCTGTAAAGGGATTTTTTTTTTTTTTAAGGCACAAAATTGCTAGGATAATAAGAATAGGAGAGAAGAGACAATTACAAAGTTTCAGAAGCTGGAAAGCAGACAGATCTGAAACTTAAATTTGCAGTGGAGAAAGCCAAGCCGGTTTACACCAGAGAATTCCCAAAAGGCCCTGGTGGCATTACTGGAAATGGACAACAGTGGGCACAACGAGCTAAAATAAAGAGGATCTGTCAAACTTCAAGAAATAGCTACATTCCTCAGACCAGGTATCTACTCTGTAAATTGAGCTGACTGCTCCTCTCCCATCTAAGCAAAAGATATATAAATATATTCCCTGAAAAGTATAAACAGTAAGTCTCCAAGTGAGAGGCCCAGCACAACTTGTGGGGGAGGGGTACTGCAATGAAAACCACGATTGGGCGCACACAGGCACAGAGATATTCTCCCAAGCCATTTCCCTCTCCTTGGTCCCCAGAAAGATGGCAGCAATGGCAAAGATGGCCCAGGCCTTACAGGAAGATCTCTGGGTGATGTGAACAGCCAAGTAGAAACTGACATGGCTGGTTCCCCAAGAAAAGGGCTACTGACAGCATCTTCAGTTAAGCTATTTCCAACAAGCCCCACTCACGTATACCAGATTTCAATTAGCCTCATTCCCCACCTCCAGGCAATTCTTGAATACAGCAGAGAGGGAAAACCTGACATTTAAGGAAAGATTCTAAAATGAAAGCGTCCAAAACAGAAAAGTCAACTTACATCACAAGAGGACAATCAGCAGAACTCAGATTATAGAAATTCTATAGGACCAATGTCCTAGTTTCTCCAACAAATAAATTGCACAGAAGAGGACAGAAGAGAATGAGGGGCCTACAGATTCAAAGAGACTTAAACCACAAACCAAACGTTTGTATGATATGGACCTTATTTGAGTATCGATGTGAACAATCCAATTGCTTTTTTAAAAATGAGATAATCAGAGCAATTTAAATATTGTTTCAATATTTGATGATATTAAGGAACTGTGGTTAAATTTTGGGGTATGACATATTATGGTTATGCTTTACAGCCCCTATATATTAGTGAAATACACTGAAGTATTTTTTAATGAAATGATGGCTTGGATCTGTTTCACGACAACCTGGGAAAGGGGCTGAGTAAACAAGCAGGGTCATGAGATAAAGGGAACAAGGGAAGCTTTCAGATTCTCTACCTGGTGTTTGAAATTTTCCAAAATAGAGAAAAATGACCACTAGAATCCTCAGGGAAAATAATGAAATCATAAAACAGAAACAAAATATAAATATAAACAAAATATAAAAAAAGGGAAATTCAAAGAAGGTTTAAAACATCCTGTAAATAAAAAATAAGAAGAAATAAAACATTCAGTAAAGAGTTGGAGAAAAACTTGATGGCATATCCCAGAAAGTACACACACAAAAAAAGTATACAAATTAAATAAAGAAAAGAATAAAAAGTTAGAGGGCTAGTCCAGAAGGTCTAAAATCTTGGTAACAGTTTTAGAAAGAGAAAAAGAGAAAGAGCAGGAAGAAATTCATCAAGACAAAAATGTAAGAAGATGTTCCAGAACTGAAGACCATGAATTTCTAAAAGAAAAGCTGTACCAGTTGCCTGAGACAATGGATGAAAAGAGATGCATAGCAAGACACATCATTGTGAAACTGCAGAACATTAGGAACAAAGCGATTTGGCAAGTTTCCAGGAAAGACAAAATAAAAACAAAAGCCCTGGCTATATATAAAAGATCTGGAATCAGAAGCATTTGTGACTTCATAACAGAAAAAAACTAGGAAGGAATGAAGCAATGCCTTCCAAATTAGGAAGGAAAATGACTGCCAATAGAGAGTTTATATCTAGCCAAACTACCAATCAATGATGAAGGCAGAATAAAAATATTTTTCAGATATGAAGGTCTCAGAAATTTTATTTCTATTTACCCTTTCTCAGCAGCAAAAGCAAGGAAGTAAATCCAGAAACAGCAAGAAATGAAAATACAGGGAACAAAGGATCTAGCAGAGAAGAAAGGAGGAGGGAATAACCAGGATGGTGACAAAGAGAGATTCCAGAATAAAAGTCTACTCTCCAAGCATCCAGAGAAGGCAATGGCAGCCCACTCCAGTACTCTTGCCTGGAAAATTCCATGGATGGAGGAGCCTGGTGGGCTGCAGTCCATGGGGTCTCTAAGAGTTGGACACAACTGAGCGACTTCCCTTTCACTTTTCACTTTCAGGCACTGCAGAAGGAAATGGCAACCCACTCCAGTGTTCTTGCCTGGAGAATCCCAGGGACGGGGGAGCCTGGTGGGCTTCTGTCTATGGGGTCGCAGAGCCGGACACAACTGAAGCGACTTAGCAGCAGCAGCTCCAAGCATCACTTCCCTTATCTGTAAAACTGGGAACTGACAGTGGTACCTGCCTCACAGACTTGTCAGGACTCAGCATAAAACACTCTGAGTAGTTCCTGAATATAGAGTATAAGCCACAAGAGTTTTCTCATTATCCTCATTAAAGAATTGACACTTTGTATATTACAATAGCTAAAATGAAAGAAATCAATGTAAAACACTTACATCTGAACCAAACTTATTTCCAGCTTTGGAATAACTGAAAATTGTCACAGAACCATAGGGTTTTGGAGGTAAATAGGGTTGTGAGGTTTTTTTCTAGTGCAATTTTCTTGCTTCAAAGCATAGGGCATTCCAGCTCACAGTAGCTAAGACTGGACTACATAACCATTTAGAAGGAGAGACTAGCAGTCAGGAGTTTCATGTCAATGCACTGAAAATCACAAATGCAGCTACTCAAACTCCGTCTATGGGATCCTCACAGGATCAGAGTTTCACATATACAAAAAAAAAATCACCATAGAAACATTTTGTTCAACTTCTGTCATTTTAAAACCTGGCACTTGGCTCAAGATATACATACACAGAAAGACCTCCTAGGAAGATTCAGTCTGGGCAATAAAGAGAAGAGGGTTTCCTGAATCAGGCTGACAAAAGGAAGGCAACATATTAGATTCACTGACCTACCCAGAGTTGCTCTGATTCTAGGAAGGACACCTCTAGTGGCTTTACACACAAAAGTAAGAATATTAATCCCTATAGCACAGCCTGGATGGGTATTTCTGATACCTGAGTAATGCGATGGGTAGCAATGTACTTCTGTCATAGTTGTCTAAGTTTTTCTAAAGAAATAAATACAATGTGTAGGGTTAGCAGTCTTTTCGGAACTGCTTCCAAAGAAATGACGGATACAATGAGGGCAATTGGGCAAACCCAATGAACAGTGGGAGTGTCGTCAGGGGCAAAAAGGCAAGATCCCAGGAGAAGAGCATTTTGCACCAGCCTCATCAGGCAGAGCACCACTGATACTCCTCTGAGGTGCGAGAGGGGAATCAGACTGGGTAGGAATTTTCCTGGTATAAATGATGATTTCTATGATCTGCCATCTCATTCCAACTGAAATTAAGCCCTCTGTACATCTGCAGAAAGTCTTCTTCAACAGTTTGAGATGAACTTATTGTGAAAGAAAACTGTCCATTTTCTTTTCACTGAATCTCAGGGGGAAAGTACACCCTATTTTCTCATCTTTAAAACACTGAAAACTTCTGTGCTTCTTGAATATTTCTTACAAACAAAGTTGCAGTTACCTTTGGATATAGTTCATGTCCCACAGCAATTCAAATGCCAAAGTGGTGACTGGATGGATTAAATACCTTGTAATATTTTCACCATTTAGCTGAGATTTAAAGTGACAAGTCAAGAGTCCAAAAATACAAGTGCTATTTTCAAATCTTTTATCCTTTTCACAAGTGCTTATTTTGGTATTTTTGATTAATAAAATGATCTTCTATTTTCTTAGGTATACAAACATTAGGGGCTTCTTGGAAAAAAACCATTCAAACAAACAATACAGAAGTAGGCATTAACTTAGTCAAGCTAGTAAAACATAAAAAGAAATAAGAACCATTTAAAAATATTTCCAATGTCTTCTGGGTATGAACAGAAACATACAGAAAATGCAGTTTTTAAATGGGAAGTATGGCTGTGTCAACACTCACAGAAAAAGTAGGATTCCAGTGTTTGCCAGGGCGAAGGCGAGTCCTAAAATCCCACTGCCCATAATGGCGTTGCTTAGGTTAAAAACAGACATGCCCAAGGAGGTCGTTCCTGGAATCTGAACAGAGACACAGTCACACTAAACAAAACAGTCCTCCAGAAAGATCATCACTCCAAAGCCTTGAAAATCAGGAACCAACAGGGAAATGAAACTCAAGGAATTCTTTCTTCGTGGTCTAGTTATTTTTTCAAATGGGTTTCAGGAGAGAATACACAGGCTCCGAGGAATGTCTTGGTGAGTAAACAGCTATGCTTTTGGTACTATGCTGGATGAGTTTAAAACATATGTTGTAATTATCATAATTTAAAAAATAAGCAAACGTTATTAAAATGACACTTACATAGTCATCACATTTCTTTTTTTCCAAGTGGCTGTTCGTGAGACTTCTTCTACTTTCACGATCAGAAATAAACTTGCTGTAAAGAGAGGCATAATGATTTAATCTCATTATAATGACTCGGAGCTTAACATCATGACTGAATGATTTATTATTTACCAAAACATCATGCATGAAAAGTTATCAATCAGTTATCTAAGAGTTTATCGTCCTATTCAACTGCTCTCACTAGCTTGTTTGTTTTTCTTTGGTCAGGATCGTTCTTGTTGTTCAATCACTAAGTTGTGTCCCATTCTTTGTGACCCCATGGACTGTAGCACACTAGGCTTCCCTGTCCTTCACCATCTCCTGGAGTTTGCTCAAACTCATACCCACTGAGTTGGTGATACCATCCAACCATCTCATCCTCTGTTGTTCCCTTCTCCTCCTGCCCTCAATCTTTCCCAGCATCAAAGTCTTTTCCAATAAGTCAGCTCTATGCATCAGGTGGCCAAAGTATTGGAGCTTCAGCTTCAGCATCAGTCCTTCCAATGAATATTTGGGCTTGATTTCCTTTCGGACTGACTGGCTTGGTCTCTTTGCTGTCAGGGACACTCAAGAGTCTTCTCTAGCACCCCAACTCAAAAGCATTAATTCTTCAATGCTCAGCCTTCTTTATGGTCCAACTTTCACATCCGTATATGACTACTGGAAAAACCACAGCTTTGACATCATGGACCTTTGTTGGTAACGTGATGTCTCTGCTTTTTAATATGCTGTCTAGATTTGTCACAGCTTTTCTTCCAAGGAGCAAGCGTCTTTTAATTTCATGGCTGCTTTTAATTTTTGTCAGGATTAGTTGCTCACATTCTTGTTTTACCTAATAAACTAAAAGTGCTCCAAGAGCAGACACTTTGCTTCATTCCTTTTTACATCCGTCACTCTACTTAGTACCAAACAATGCAAACAGTAGATGCTCATCTTTAGAGGAAACAAAAGACAACTCTAAGTCAAAAAGAATTATAAATGTGGGGTAATTTTAATACCAATAAATTAAAACACTATATGCAATGCAAGTTAACTTTTGTATAGATTTTTCTCTAATGGAACATTACATAGTGTCAAAAATACTATAAAGCTGGCATTTAAAAAGAACACTGGAGACAGGTCTCTTTATAAGCTCACATTCTTGGAGTACAAAGTTATTACACAGGAATTCCCTCCTCTCACCCCTGCAAAAATGGAAAATAACTCTTTCCCCATGAAACATTACTTTAGCACCTGCTTATATACAGGCAATGTGGGAGGCGTGGAGATGTGTCGTAAGTGACGTAGACACTAGCCCATAGGAGTTCAGATGAGGAAATTATGGTAGAGGAGGAGGGGCATATGGTCCATGGTCAGGGGCAGAGTTAGGGCTTAAGGGGATTCAGAACTTGAGTTCAATCCTCACTTGTTTTGAGGGCATGAGTATGCTACCCCAGTTTCCTCATCTGTGAAATGGGAATGACACTATTGCATTATCTCACAGTGTTACTGGGACAGTTAGATGAAAACACATGTAAAATATCAGTACAGCTCCAGGCACAAAATGAAAGGAACACTTTCTGAATCTGGGGAAGATTCAGACAGGCTGAGTAGAGTCAAGTATATACAAAACATACAGAAGGAGGTAATCAGAATGCTCTAAGGACCAGCAAATATATTATTGGGATTAACATTAGAACTTTATGGCTTAAATTTCTAATTTAAAAAATTTCCCATTAAAAAAAAGAAGTGCTATTGTCAAGGAAAAGTTCATCCATAAGTAAACTGCTACATGTAATAGTAAAACATGTTAGGAATTCTTTTTGGCTTTTCTGGAAATTTAATTATCTGGTTTTAGTAAGAACTAATCCATGAATTTTTCACTAATAAATATAAAGACACTTGAACTAGACTATTATAAAGAAGCATGTATTTTTGAACTATACATTTTCAGATGCTTTTCTGAATGAAGATGTATTTCACAATAAACCATTTTTTAATGAAAGATATATATCATAAATGTTGGTTTTATTTATCTACCTCTTTCATCTTGAGGTTTGCTTCAAACCATATTCTTCAGGTTTCCTTTTTTCACCTGGATAAACCAAAGGCAAGCAACATACAAACTATGAACCTCCCCTGAGGCCACCACCTGCTATGAGCAACACAATCTGTGGTTTATTTCTTTCAGCATCTGCATTTGCCGAGGACCTGTCTGGTGACTGTCAGAAACGAAGAAGAAGTGAGGAAAACCTTGGTCTCCTGAAACACAGGAGGTGCTGTTCCAGTTGAGGAGCATTTCCTGTAGTCCTGTACGGATGTGAGACCATAAAGAAGGCCGAGTGCCAAAGAACTGATGCTTTCAAGTTGTGGTGTTGGAGAAGACCCTTGAGAGTCCCTTGGACAGCAAGGAGATCAAACCAGTTCATTGGAAGGACTGATGCTGAAGCTGAAGCTCCAATACTTTGGTAACCTGATGCAAAGAGCCAACTCATTGGAAAAGACCCTGATACTGGGAAAGATTGAGGGCAGGAGAAGGGGGAGGCAGAGGATGAGAATGCTGGATGGCATCAACTGACTCAATGGACATGAGTTTGAGTCAACTCTGAGAGTAAAGGACAGGGAAGCCTAGCGCGCTGCAGTCCATGGGTCACAAAGAGTTGGACACGACTTAGTGACTGAACGACAACAACGGACCAAAACACCAGAACAGGAACATCAGACCATGCAAAACGGAGATGAGATAAGGGAGCCAGGAAAGGAAAAACCATTACTGGGTGGGATTAGCCAGAGGAATCTTAAGGGCTGAGGTCTGGGAAATAGCATGACAGGGTCTCAGCAAGAGAATGACATAAAGAAAGCCACCTCTCTGGAGACCCACCTGACAGTACTCTAACCCTGGCCCTTCTTTTACCCTTAACATTTTAAATCTTTCCACAGAACTGCAGTTTACAGATCTGGCTGGAGAGGGACAAGGGAGAGCAGCCTTCCTTTTCATCCTGGCAGCCCAAGGAAACGGGGGTGCTGGACTTGCCAAAATGAAATGGACTCATATTGAGTGCTGCTGTTAAATAAAAGACTGCATGTAATCAGATTAATTTTAACAACCAACTTAAGTCTGCCAAATCATTATCCAGAAGGTCCCGTTTGCCTTTCTTGTGGAGGGACTTACTTTCCAAAGAGAATTTTCACTATTTTTAAATAAAGGGGGAAATCCCCAACATTTTCAAATCAACTAAACCAAACACCAATAAGCCTCCTGTTATGGCAGGTCTAAGCTCCTGGCCTGCCCGTGCACCCCAGACTTGGGGCAGAAAGCTGACAGAGGAAAACGGATCAAGGCACCAGGATGCAGGGGCATTCCGCAGGGTCAGAGGCTGCAGCGGGAGGGGAGGAAGGAGAGGCCCCTGCATGCCTGCTAGCTCTCTGCCGCAACGCTTCCACAGGAGGAGAATAATGCATGGGACTTGCAGAGCTGCTGTGATGAGGAACCATGAAGAAGCTTATTAAAACACATTGTGCCTCAACTGCCTCCCGATTCTGCCTCTTTCTGTCTACTTTATGCAGCCAAGCTTAATAGGTTCTCCCAAAAATCTTTACTAGCGCTCCTACTGCAAAAGTTTTCAGTATAAATTGCTTGGCCTGCAAATTCCAGCTACTGCAGAATTTGATTTGGCCTCACTGTTCAATCTTAGCTTCCCCTGCTATTCTGAACGGTCTTCCCAAGAGGCCGTGAGGATGGAGATAGGACCAGGGCATTCGGAGAATAGAGACTGAAAAACAGTACCACTAGGAATGCACTCTCCCCTCAAGAGACCCTCCATCCTCCTCTAAGCCAGTGTTTTCCTCTCTGGTTCATGACTCTCATCCTCCATGTGTGTGCTGAATACTCTAGATTGAATGGACTTTTCTGACTCTGACCCACATACGATTTTTCTGTGGCACCAACCGTGGCAGTACTAATCTTGCATTCAGAGTGGTGGTGTCATGTTCTCACTCCTTCTTCCATGTACCTGCCCCTCTCATTAGCAACTCAGAGGAACCCTCCATAAACCTAAGGCTCCTCTTCCATTGAGGAACTATACTGACTTAGGCTATAGGGAAATCTTGCTCGGAAAGAATGAAGTACTCAAAGCAAGTCTCTGTATTTTCTTTTCGGTGTTTCCACATTTTCTTCTTTTTTATTTTTCAATCTTTGCTTTGTATTGCTGAAAACTTAAACACACATACACATAACAAAAACAATCTTTTTATGATGGAAAAGTCCATTTATAATAACTAGGTCAGCAGCTTATCACAAGTTTCCGTTATCTCACCATTTTAAAAATGCAATTGCCTGTTAAAAAAGCACTGACCTCTGGCAAAGACCGCTTTACTGACTTAAAAATGGGCTATTGGAGAAGGTGTCTTTGACATGTGGTCTCAGGATGATAAGAATATTATTAAGAAAGAGTTTTCGCTGGGTCGGTCTGTACCCATTAAGCAGAATTCGATCAACTCTTAGGTAGGCAACTGTTCTGTGGACAAAACAAAACAAAAATCTACAGTGGCTGTCATGCTGACCTTCAATAGACAAAGCCTTAAAAAAGGATGTAGGCATTATACTGAGGTATGTGAAGGAGGCAAGCAACATAGAGCAGTTATTTAAAACCAAAAATAAACCAACAACAATCCAATTAAGGATGGGTTGTACAATGGGAAAATAATCTTCCTATTTTAATCTCCACCAATCAGGTTCTTACTACATTACAGTGTTTCACTGGAGGATTTATAACACAAAAGAGATGAATAGCTGAACTTAAATAACCTTTCCTAGCTGTCCCCCGAAACACTACCTTCTATACGAACGAAAGAGAAAAGGGGGGAGAAAGCACGTATGAAAGAGGCTGGAAAACATGAAACAATTAAAGAAACAGCAGGTATTTAAAGAGAATACTGAGAGGTAAACAAAGCCTTATTTGGTGGATAAACTCTACTGAAAATTGGAGAAAACAGAATTCTGTTGCAGCAGGCATGATTAAAGCCAGGGAAGAATTTTCCAACATGAAAACTGAATATAAGAAGAAGTTATGGCCTCTTCTTCCCAAAGGTACAGAAAAGACACTAGAAGAAAAGAAGCGATAACTTTTCAAGAGTCCTCCCAACGATACAAACGTAGTTCATCAACTCTGAAAGGCAAGGGACCAAGCGAAAAAAGGCTGATGCAAGTGTGTAGTGACAAGAGTTTCTCATTAAGGAAAATCTTAAGGAGAGACTCTCAGATTTTGTTACAAGCTTCCTGGGTCATAACAACAATAACTATACATGGAGATGAGAACAACAGTATATAAACATTAAAATATGTGACTATTTGCCTGGATACAGTTAATATCATCTATGAACATTTCAACAACTTTAGGATGACAATAACCAACAATCACCCCAAACCTAAAACGGTTTTTTCAGTCCTTGGTTGGAGAAGTAAGATGTGCTTGCCAAAAGAAAGAGGTCTGTACTTTTGTTAGAGACTTTCCCATATCTTGCCAGACCCTGTGTCAAGTACTTTATATGAGTTTTCTCATCTCTTTTCACAATACTTAGCTCCATTTTAGAGAAATCAAGTCACTTGACTAAAGTTACATTACTAATAACTAACCCATTGAGCCAGGATTGAACTTAAGCTGGCGGATAGTACAGCTTGAGTCCTTAACCTACAAACAGCATTGTGTTTAATATTCTCCAGCAATCCCAGGAGGTCAGGTATTATTTTCATGCTTGTGTTATAGAGATGGAGCCAAGGTTCAAAGCACAAGATCACACAAGACCTATGGATAGAGCCAGCATTCAATACAAGTTGAAATTCACACCACGTACTTAACAGCTCGCTCTGTCTCTTTCATTTAACAAATACTTTGAGATGTTTGCCCTGTACCGGGCACCATTACAGTATCATAACAAGGTACAAGAGATATAAAGACGGTTAAGATGGTTCCTCCTCTCCAGAAGATCATATCTAGAGGAGTGTCTAGAGCTCCTTACTCAAAATGTGGTCCATGGACCAGTTGTAAGGGCATCACCTGGGAGCTTGCAGGAAGTCAGACTTTCAAGCCCAGTTCCAGAGCTGCTGAATCAGAATTTGCATGTTAACAAGTTCGCCAGGTGTCTCATATGCACATTAAAATGTCAGCAATACTGGTCCAGTGGACATTTCGAAAGGTTTTGCTGTTCCAGGGGTAGACGTCTATGACGGCAGGGCTTCTGCTGTCTGGCTCAGACAGTAAAGAACTCTCCTGTAATGCAGAGAACCCAGGTTTGATTCCTGAATAGGGAAGACCTCCTGGAGAAGGGAATGGCTACCCACTCCAGTACTCTTGCCTGAAGAATTCCATGGACAGTGGAGCCTGGAAGACCACAGTCCATGAGATCACAAGAGACTCGGGCACAATTTCTATGACTACAACCCCCAAAATCAGGGCATGAAATAAAAGAACTGAACTAGAAGAAGGGCAGGAGTCCTAATACCCAAAGGGCTCTACTCTGTTTTTAACTAAACTTTAAAAAATGCTTCTTAAAGTATCCTACGGGGAGAAGTTTCCAGGCAAGGCTACCAGTTGGATGCCAGGTAATCAGGGTTCAACATCTGCTTTCAACATTTTCTCTAGCTTTCTTACAAAGACGCACTGTTACCTAGAAGTTCACTGTTTTGGGAGAGGATTCTCTTGGATTCATATGATCAGGCCTACTTTCTTCCCACCAATGTGAAAAAGCTACCAGAAGAGTCAGAGGTACTCAGGTGTAGCTTTGCAGAAATCATGGGGGATGGGGGCTCTTTTCTGATGTTTATTTACCTTTTTGGCTTCATGCTATAATATGTTATTTTTAATTTTTATTGGTCTAGAGCCAGAAATGAAACAAGATTCATAAACCATGTCAATGAAAGAGGGGAGATAAATAAATGCATCAAACTGCATCTGCAACAATGGAATCAAATTCCAAAAAATACGAGGCTGTACAGCCCACGCCTAGTAGGCAAGTGGGCTCCCTCGGCAGGCACCCAAAGGGATGAGAAGCGGTGCCTTCTCTTATGGGCAAGGGGTTATCGCCTCCAAAACAATACTTTTTCATAGTAAAACTCTTAAAGATCAAGTTCAGAGCCTGAACTGAATATTATAAAAGACTCTCATTTTAAGGTGCTTAAGGCTTACACTGATTTGGGAATGAAGTTGTTACAAACCCAAAATTTGCTACTTGTGAAACAGCTGATGGATGTCCCATCCATTGTTCAGTAATGCCTACAGGAAATCAGTAGTGACTACAGAACACCCCAGGAAGCCAGAGCAGAAAACAGCACGAGTAGAGTTTGGCAGGGTTTAAACTGAGAGTAGGAACTATCCTTTTCATTCATGCTGGAGCATTTTAATCAGAGGTAGCAGAAGAGGGCAGAAAGACATGGATTTCTTACAGACCTGTATGTGCCCTTGAGCAAGTTATTTTATTTCTCTGAGCTTCCACCTTCTTATTGGTACACTGAATTTCTAAATTTCCTTATTTGCAAAACAATACATTGCATGATATTGTAAGGATTGTTATAAGGATATGTATAATATATAATCACAATTGGCACTCAAGAAATGGCAGTTATTCTTAATAATTACGCAGAAAAGGTGAAAGAAGCAAACTTGGGTCCAACAATAAGAAATATCACTGCACGGTAAATGATACTTGGATGGTAGTGAGGAAGTATTTGGGTTGGAGACTTAATCTCTGAGAACGTTTAAGGAAGAGAATAAAGAGGAAGGGGGGCTGAAACTTCTGAGTGTATGTAAATGAGGGCAGCCCAACCCTACCCCTGACTTTCAATTATGCATTGTATCAGAATGGAGAGTTTATCAGAAAAGATTGCTGCAGAGATGCCTGGTTAGCTGACAAAATGTTTTCATCCTCCTCCTTCCCAATTTCCTTTTGACCCTGCCCTCCCAAGTACAGCATGGTCTATGTTCTCATAAGTAGTCCCCACATATTTCACTTTTCTCCCAGTCTTTTAGGAGGCCTCAACTCCAAACAAACCACACATAAACACCCAAGCTGCAAAGCTTTCTGATAGGGATCTACATAAGCTGCCAGCAACATGGATGAACCTAGAGATAATCATACTAAGTGAAGTAAGTCGGGCAGAGAAAGATAAATGCCATATGATACCACTTACATGTGGAATCCAAAAATGTGACACAAATGAACTTATCTATGAGATGCAAACAGACTCTCTGACATAGAGAACAGACTTGTGGTTGTCAATGGGAGGCGGGCGGGGGAGAGAAGGATTGGGAGTTTGGGGTTAGCAAGTGCAAATTACTATATATAGAATGGATAAACAATAAGGTCCTACTGTATAGCATAGGGAATTATCAATATATTCAATATCAATATATTCAATTTATCCTATGATAAACCATACAAGATGACGATATGAAAAAGAATGTATATACATGTAAAACTGAATCACTCTGTTATACACTAGAAACTAACATAATATATAAATCAACTTCAATAAGTTAAAACACTTCAATAGGTTAAAAAAATAAAATCAGGTCAGATAATGCCCCGAATCATTAAAAAAAAATATATATATATATACACATATATATTTATGTTTAGTCCTACTCTTGTAACTTAAGAAACACATAACTCAAGGGTTGGAAGAACTTGTTGCGGTCACAGCTGAGGGTGAGAGCTGCCAGCCCGGCATTGTTCCTATCTGCCCCCTACCTCCCCTCACTCACAGTATCTCTTCATTTCTCTCTGTTTCATGTACTCTTTCTCTAGTTTCTCACAGAGGCATTTAGGTCTATGTTATTATTACTTAAAATCCATGTTACGAATGATGCTTGTAATGACGTATGTCGTTTCAACATGGGAACGCTGGCAAATGCGACTTTGACCGTTTCTTAATTAAAATGTTGGCGAAGCCAGATGACTGTAGTACACGTTCAGATATGGTGTGCAGCTAAATTCCAACAGTTGGTCTAATTCATAAGCATAAAGCTTTTGAAAAGTTAGGGCTGGTTGGGGTCCAATGTATTTATACATTTTTATTAGACTCAATTGAAAGATTCGAAAAGATGAATAAATTCCTTTCCTATTTGCTTCATCTGCTATTGCAGACTATGCCCAACAGATGTCACATATGAAATTCAAATTACATCTTCAAATGGAGCATAACTTTAGTAATGAATAATTCAAGAGAATAACTGAAAAACCAGAATAATATTTTAGAGACATTTCTTTCATTGGAGAGAAAGTGTCAGTGGAAAAATACTCACCTGTTTATCTGACCATTCTCTACTTCAGTGAAATCGTTAGAATCATTGCTAATGTTATCATCTTCAGGTACCGTCATGTTTTGCAACTCAGTTAATTCAAGTCCACTTTTGAAATGCATCATGTTTAGAAACTACCTGTCGTCAAAAACTGGGTCCAAATTCTCTTTTTCTGAGTGTATTTACAAATGGATAGCAGCAAAAATATCAGGTTGACACTCCTAAAACACAACACAAGGAAAAATAATTAAACACATAAATACCACAGATTAAAAATAAACAATTTACACATAATTTACTGATAACGTAACTTTTACATTTTGTTATTCAATGTATTAAAGCAATCTTGGTACATCAAATTATAGACTGTAAATTTTATGTCTTTCATAAATCTCCCTACATTTTTAACTATAAAATGAGTCTTGTCCCATAATCTTTATGTTCATGTTTATACAAATACCATGTCATATTTAGACAACAGAGATGCCCTTTTATGAAGCAGTAAGTTTAAAAGGAAACCGATTCAGTTATTTTAATGCGTCAGACCACAGGGCACACACATAGCTGGGTACAGACTGAACAGACACAAAAGCACCTCTGATTTAGCAATCCCAGTTTAATAAAAATGCAAATCCTCAGTAAATGGCATCATGCAGGATCAACCACCCAACCTGGAGGTCAAGCAGCAAAGGACAAATCTGTGTTTTGAAATTTAGCAAACAGTTTATCCATCAACTGCAAGAGATTAAATCAATCTCTTCAATGAAATCACTCCATGTCAGGGAATTAGGGAATTAAAAACTCATACTCTGGGGATTTAGGTTAATCCACCTGAAACTATATTTCCTCACAGAAATGAAAGACTTGCCGAGTTCACATTTTCCCCTACACGGATGATTGTGATTTAAATTTCAAAGTGGTCACCATTAATATATTAAGAGTTTCAGGCTTCCCAGGTGCCTCAGTGGTTAAGAATCCACCTGCCAATGCAGAAGACACAGAGGATGAGTGTTCCATCCCTCAGTTGGGAAGATCCCCTGGAGGAGGAAATGGCAGCTCACTCCAATATTCTTGCCTGGGCAATTCCACGGACAGAGGAGCCTGGCAGGCTATAGTCCATAGGGTCACAAAGAGTCAGACACAAAGAGTCAGACACGAGTCAGGCTTAGCAACTGAGCACTATCACTGCAGATTTTCAGACACATGGCGTCACAAATCAAAAAGCAGGCGGCCACAGAGGTGTGGTACTGTGATTTATCATAAAGTGAAAGTCACTCAGTCATGTCTGACTCGATAGTCCATGGGGTTACAAAGAGTCAGACATGACTGAGTGACTTTCACTTTCCCCTCTCCAGGAGATCTTCCCAACCCAGGGACTGAACTCAGGTCTCCCACGTGGCAGGTGAATTCTTTACCAGCTGAGCCACAAGGGAAGCCCAAGAATACTGGAGTGGGTAGACTATCCCTTCTCCAGCGGATCTTCCCAACCCAGGAATCAAACCAGGGTCTCCTGCGTTGCAGATGGATTCTTTACCAACTGAGCTATCAGGAAGCCCCGATTTGTTATAAAGAATACATATTTGGTCTTCGTTCCTACTTCTGGCTCACAGCTCACCAAACCCTTAGAGCTCAGATAGTTAAAAATCTGCCTGCAGTGAGGAAGACTCAGGTTCGATCCCGGGGTCAGGAAGATCTCCTGGAGAAGTGAATGGCAACCCATTCCAGTATTCTTGCCTGGAGAGTTAATGGACAAAGGAGCCTGGCAGGCTATAGCCCATGCGGTTGCAGAGTTGGCCATGACGGAGCAACTTACACACACTCTAAGAGTGATAAAGGTCTTTTATTATGTTAATGAGACAAGTCTGGGAAAGCACCTAAGGATTGGGACTGGCAGCCAGTGGAGTCAAACAGTTGATTAAAGGACTGTAATATTCAGTCCCATCCATGATTTCTGGGGAGAGAAGAGAACTTGAATCAATCACTCATGGCCAATGAGTTCAATGATGCCTATGTAATGATGCTGTGAAAAAAAATTAATAAAGGAGGTTCAAAGAGTATCCATACTAGGGGCCCAGAACTCCCCCACATCCTGGACCCCACACTCCACAAGGAGAGAAGCTCTTTTGTTGAGGACCTTGCCACTATACCCCTACATTTGGCTGTTGGTCTGTATCCTTTCGGGCTTCCCTGGTGGTTCAGCTGGTAAAAAATCTGCCTGCAATGTGGGAGACCTGGGTTCGATCCCTGGGTTGGGAAGATCCCCTGGAGAAGGGAAAGGCTACTCACTCCAGTACTCAGGCCTGGAGAATTCCATGGACTGTATAGTCCATGGATCCATGGGTCCCAAGGAGTCAGACACCACTGAGTGACTTTCACTTTCACTTCAGTTGTATCCTTTGATATCCTTTGTAACAAATGGGTAATGTAGTGAGTAAACAGGTTTTCCTGAGTTCTATGAGCTGTTCTGGAAGATTAATGGAACCCAACGAGGAGGTCATGAAAACCTCTGATTTATGGCCAGTCAGGAGCACAGGTAACAACTCAGACTTGTGATGGTGTCTGAAGTGGAGGGCAGTCTCATGGGATGGAGACCTTGACCTGTAGAATCTCATTCTATCTACTGGTAGATAATGTCAGAATCGGGTCGACAATTGCTGGTATGGGGAAGCCTACACGCACGCACACCCATGCACATGCACATGTTGGTACTGAGTCCAGGAACCCTTTCAAGAGGGAAACGCAGCTTCCAAAGTCAGGCCTGTAAAGGTATGGGAGCCTCACTTGGATAATCTCAGTGAGGTGACGGGGACCAAGGGATGAAGCAGAATGTCATCACATTTTTTTTTTTTTCACCTCCAACGGTAAACCCCCTTGGATGATGTTTTGATATTTTGTCTGACCCTGAATTCCACAACTGTAACCTAGTTAAGAGTGAAAACTCCAATGTGCCCATGTAAGCATCCTACAATACCCAGGAAGTATTTTGCTAACTGATAATATTTTCTGGACCCTCAGAAAGTACCCTGGAATGATAATTCTTCAAGAATTTCTTTCTTTTCTCCCCAACAGCTGGGCCACACATTACTCCTTTTCATTCACAACACATTTAAAACAAGACTTCCCTGGTTCCAGGATCCTTTAAAGCTTCCACAAGATAAATACTAATACCTCAGGTTCTAGAAGGCTCACCCTTTCTGCAGAGCAGGGCCTCTTCTGGAAACCAGGAAGCAGGGACAAGAGACCGAAGCTCCTAGAGCTCCTGATCTAAAGCCAGCCTGGCAGCTTGGAGCTGATTCCTCTAGCCAGGGTGGCAGTGCTGGAGCTTGGGCCATGACTAATCGTTCTTAGTGCCTTCACAGAGCAGCAATGTCTACAGCCTGTCTTTTCTTTGCAAGAGCTGAAGTGCATTAAAAAGGCTAAAGCCCCCGCCACCCTTTGGCCCCCCTCTAAAGAAAGCCACACAAGTGAACTGGACTGGGTCATTCCTAGGAGTCTTGCCACCCTGGCTCTCACCTAAATGATGGCCTCAGAGGCTACTGAAGCGATCCTGCAGGGCTTCTAGAAAGTTCACTCAGTGGATGGAGTTTCAAATCTGGGCTAAGGAGTCCTTTTCTCTCCACAACTTGTAGGAAATAGGGTACTAGACAAAAAATTTCTAAGGAGAGGAAAAAGTGACTAACAACAGATTTGGGTCTACCGTTTGTATTCAAACTTTTATATTAATATACATGTGTGTATACAAATATATACTATGTACACACACACACACACACATACGTGTGCGCGCGCGCGCACGAGCAATGGACAGAAAGAAAAGATGAAGTTCTGGCCACTAAAATGATGTCAGTATTAGGCAAATGCCAGTACTCAGTTAACTGCATAGGATACATTTATTTTTGCCTTTGGCTTAAAAGAGAAATTTACTTTTTCACAGTTCCAGAAGTCCAAAATCAGGTGCTGCCAAGTTTGGTTTCTCCTGAGGCCTCTCTCCTTGCCTCACAGATGGCTGTCTTCTTGCTCTGTCCTCACATGGTTTTTTGCCAGTCTCTCTTTTGTCTATGTAGTAATTTCCTATATATATATTTTTTAGAAGAAATTTTTATTGCTGTGAAATAGCCTCTCTGAAATCTAACTTATTCTTGAAAACAAAAACTGGAAAAATGTGGAAAAGTAACAAAATTCGTGACATTTGTCACTAAAAAAGTTAAGACCATACTTAGAAAATATTACCCATTCAATTTATCGTATATTTACTGAGTGCTAGGTGATGCAAGGATTTTAAAAGCTTGAAAAGGTCAAATTCAGAGATCTGAGGCAGTTTCACAGAAAAGCCACATTTGAACTGGCTCTTGAAAAAGGAAAAAAAAAAAAGTCCTGGTTCTAGAGCTAATATATACCCATTGCAGAATCTTTAGAACAAACACTGTACAAGAAACCCAACACCCAAAATGGGCCACTGTTAAAGTTTAATGTGCTTTTCTCCTTTTTCTTTCTTTCTTCCTTTTTAGCTGTCTTTTATTAACTTTGGAATTTTAGTATTTTTAGTCTATTGTTTTTCAAGTCATACTACATAGTACACATTTGAAGAATAGACATGTTTTTAAAAAAATATGTTAGTTCCATATTAATAAATAATATAAATGTAGAAAAATTAGAAAATACAAGCTTGCAAATGAAGGAAAAAACAAATAAAAAGAAAAAAATCACCTGTTATCTCAGCAAGCAGAGATGATCACTGTATATATATATTGGAGTACGAGCTCCAGGGGTTTTTCTATGTACACAGATATAGTGCCTGGCACACAGTAGACACTTGATAAGTATCTGTTAAATGAAAAGAATGAGTACAGATTTTTTAAAAATATGTATACATTTACAAAAACGGAAATCATACCATAGGGTTTTTAAGACTTTTTGTCACTTAACAAGAGACAGTCTCCCAATCCTGAGTCAAGTCCATAACACTGTTCTACATCATTACTGAAAATGCTCCTTCACCGCTTGACTGTGCCATGAATTGACATCCAGGCTGCGGCGGCTGGCCAGTCGCAGTGGCTGGTGGACAGGAGAGGACAGGTGGAGACGGGCCCTAAGCTGAGACTTCTCAGTGAAGGGGAACTTGGCCAGCGACAGAGAGACAGGAAGTGCAGGTCAAGTTTAAGAAACAAAAGAATTATAGTTTCACTGAAGGACAGAAGCAATTATCAGACTGTACTGTAATTATAAGATTGGATGAGATCATCACATGAAGATCTTGATGTTAATCTAACTACAATGACGATCCCCCAGCGTCTCTAACAGGTTACAAATGACAGTTTACTAAGCACAGAACATTTCTGATCCTTCACCACAATCTTCAGAGATATACTTAAGAAGCAGTATTATCTTGGTATGCTTATTGATACATTTTACTAACAGTACCCATGTAAAAAACATAAACTTCTCCACTCTTCATGGTGATACATATCAAAGAAGAGGATATACAGAGAATTTAACATTGCTTACAGGCTTCCTCGGTAGCTCAGCTGGTAAAGAATCTGCCTGCAATGCAGGAAATCTCAGTTCGATTCCTGGGTCGGGAAGATCTCCTAGAGAAGGGATAGGCTACCCACTCCAGTATTCTTGGGCTTCCCTGGTGGCTTAGATGGTAAATAATTCACCTGCAGTGTGGGAGACCTGGGTTTGATCCCTGGATTAGGAAGATTCCCTGGAGAAGGGCATGGCAACCCACTCCAGTATTCTTGCCTGGAGAATCCCCATGGACAGAGGAGCCTGGCAGGCTGCAGTCCATGGGGTCACAAAAAGTTGGACATGACTTAGGACTAAGCACATACAGCCTACTGAAACAAGCAAGACCTTTTCATATAAAGTAACAATAATAAAACATTTGCATGATAAGAGACCAAACTGTACAGCAAAACAAAGAATAAATTCAGAAAGATTTCAGAGACATACATATGTACATATGGGAAGGAAAGCAGGAAGGAAGGAAGGGGGAAGGAAGGAAGTTGGAGCCTGGAGAAATCAGGTAAGATTTTATAGTTAGGATATGAACTATGCTTAAAAATAGGATTTAGACTGGAGTAGGGAAGGCATTCCTTGCACTAGAAACAGCACAGGCAAAGACATGGTGGCCAAGTGTGCACAGAACACCCATTCAGATGAATCTAGCTGAAGTAGAGAGATCAAAGAACACATTCTTGAGTAAGAAGAGGCTATACTGGTTTGGTAAAAGCTGGCTAAAAATTGTAGAGAGGAAACCAAACCAAATAATATACTATAGTTTAAACACTGTCCAAAATTACTTTGGGGGATAAGTAAGCCAAAATACATTTAAATTCCACTAACAGAAAGCAAAATTGGTGGAATCTAAATCCTCTCTAGAAGCATAACTGCAAATGAATGTGGGAAATGTAGTTTTTAATTTTTCATCCTTTGCAGAACTGGACTAGAAAGAAGTGGGAACAAATACTGACTGGGCCAATCTGTCACTAAGTGTCTTAGCAACTGAAATTTTATTTTTGCTTATTAATCCCCCAAACTGGAAGGAAAGTTATGACCAACCTAGACAGCATATTAAAAAGCAGAGACATTACTTTCCCAACAAAGGTCCGTCTAGTCAAGGCTATGGTTTTTCCAGTAGTAATGTACAGATGTGAGAGTTGGACCATAAAGAAAGCTGAGCGCCAAAGAATTGATGCTTTTGAGCTGTGGTGTTGGAGAAGACTCTTGAGAGTCCCTTGGACTGCAAGGAGATCCAACCAGTCCATCCTAAAGGAGATCAGTCCTGAGTGTTCATTGGAAGGATCGATGTTGAAGCTGAAACTCTAATACTTTGACCACCTGATGCGAAGAACTGACTCATTTGAAAAGACCCTGATGTTGGGAAAGATTGAAGGCAGGAGGAGACGGGGACAACAGAGGATGAGATGGTTGGATGGCATCACTGACTCAATGAACATGAGTCTGAGTAAACTCCAGGAGTTAGTGATGGACAGGGAGGCCTGGCATGCTGCAGTCCATGGGGTCGTAAAGAGTCAAACATGACTGAGCGACTGAACTGAACTGAACTAATCCCCCAATCTACTGATTAGCAAGGTGGGATTTTCAGGTGGCTTAAACAGTAAAGAATTTGCCTGTAAATGCGGGAGATCCAGGTTCAATCCCTAGGTCAGGAAGACTCCCTGGAGTAGGGAGTGGCGACCCACTCTTACTCTTGCTTGGGAAATCCTATGGAGAGAAGAGCCTGGTGGACCACAGCCTATAGGGTCACAAAGAATTGGACACAACTGAAGTGACTCAGCACTCACGTAACAGAGAGCAAAGTGGTGGGGACCAGGCACCCATTTTGCTGGTACAATTTTAGCAGGTGCTGCAGACACCTCTGCAGCCAAGAACTGTGGTGGTGAATTCCTGACCATCAGATGTGGCCTCAGTGATGCGTTCCTGGAGGATGCAGTTCAAACAATGAGAAGCTGGCTTCCTGATGGAGGCATAAGAGAAGACCTTTAGGCGAGCTGAGTGGTGGTACTCTGTGTTTATTCCTAGAGACTGAGCCCAAAGCCTGGTCTGCCATCTTTTCTAGCAATTTTACAGGCTTTAATTCCCTGCATTCAATCCCTTTTGCTTAACATACAAGAGATCTCTGTTTATATGCAGTTAAACCCTGGCTGATATTCTTAATTTTATTTTTTTCAACCTCCAAAATTTTTTATTATGAGAACTTTTAAACATATATAAAAGTGAACAGAACATAATAATGAACCCCCATGTACCAACTTCCATAATGATCATTTCAGGCCAGTCTTGTTGAAGTTTTACTCCCAGCATCACCTAGAATTATTTTACAAAACATCCCACATATCATCTGTAAATAAGTCAATACATCTTTCTAAAAAGTCAGATCCATTTTAAAAACAATACCACCATATCACAATCACGTCTAAAACATAACAAGAATTCCTAAATGACACTAAATAGCCAGTCATGCATATGTGTTAAGTCACTTCAGTAATGTCCAATTCTGGAACCCTATGTACTATTGCCCGCCAGGCTCCTTTGTTCATGGGATTCTCCAGGCAAGAATACTGAGGTGGGTTGCCATGCCTTCCTCCAGGGGATCTTCCCTGACTCAGGGATCAAACCTGAGTCCTTCATCTCCTGCGTTGGCAGGCAGGTTCTTTACCAACAGCACCACCTGGGAAGCCAAATATCCAGTCAGGTACACTTAACTTCAAAACTGCTATGAATGACTATTGGTGATGAAGAAGAATAAGATCACACCTCTCCTAGTTCAGCTCCTGGGAATGAATTATGACAGCTAGGTCAGTGGTTTTGAGAACGTGTTAAGTATAAGGCCAGTTATGGTTCTGTCTTCCTGAAAACTCTTCCCACGACATCTCTTCCCACAACCGAGTCTATTTACATACTGGGGGCCTCTGGCTCACCGGACTCTCAGATGGCAATAATATGATCTATGAGCTGCTTCACTATATTTCAAAAGGCCTCAAACAGGCTAAACAGGTTAATTAAAATGTCATGAGTCCTTATTTTTGGCAAGACTGCCTTAACTTGGTGTGACAGTCCTAGATTCTGACTGGCAATGTTATATATCTTAGAGTAACAAAAGTGAGAAGTGAATTAATATAATTCAAGTTATAGTCAAAACTCGCTAAACAGTATGCTTAAGATTCAGCTGTTGCACTGCATATAAATTATACTTCAACTAAAATAAAAAAAAGTGTATACAATCTTTGAAAGCCCAGGGTCCTTGGGAGGTGGGAAATGACCTCTGGTAGTGAAAGACTGGGATCCAGTAAGCAGTCTCAGAAAAGGTGTTTCCTCTCCTCTTCCTCAAAACTCATGACTTAGCCAGTGCTCCTGGCCTCAGCTCCGCTAGGACCTGGCCTCCCACTCTCCCTCTGCTGGCTCCCCCAACTTCTGTCAATCACGCTTAGCCCCATATTTGAAAAGTGTCTTTGAACAACCAGCCTGCTCCTATCTCTACTGCCAACAGTCTGAACAACTTGTCCCTGTTCTCATCACTCCCTTGAACCCTGGTTCCACCGCCAAATTCTGGCTCCACCCCTCAGGAGCTGTGCTGACTCTGGGCAAGCAGGTTAACATCTCTTTGCCTCAGTTTTCTCATCTGTAAAATTGAGATAAAGCAGTATTTCCTCGAAGAGTCGCTACAAAGCTTCCACAACTGGGTCCGTGCCTGCGCTGGTTCTGGTAAGCGAGGGCGACTGTCCCTGCTACTATTGCTACCTCTTTCTAATCAAGGCAAGAGGCCTTTTCTCAGTTCTCAACCTGCGCAGGAGGGACACTGTTTCCTGACCCCCACCACCTTGCTCCTCACTGCATCTGCAAGCATCCGCGTCCTCAGAGGAACCGTTTCCAGCCCCCACTGCCAGCTCCTGTCCTCCTCCCATCCTCTGTGCTCTGTGTGGGGGCCGCCCTACCCCCTTCCCTCCACACACTCCAAACTCTTTCCTTTCTAAGTTTCAAGCCTGAAGTGTCAGTCTTCATCCCACAAGGGCGTCTTTCAGATCTCTTTTCCCCAGGCCTTTTCGTTTTACAAAACTAGAATTCCTCTAGAAATTAGGAGATAGGATCTCTGTCATACTTACCATTTGCTGATGGGCACGTAACTTTACATGCCATGTATCTCTTTATCTGTAAACTGAGAAAGCTGGTGGGGAGAGACAATCTCTCAGGTTCCCTCCTCCTGCTCAGAAACATTTTCACAAATTCTTTTCAGACCCCAGCCGCCTGGGAGACCTCTTCACATGAATGTGTGTCGTGACCTCCAACTCCATATGCCCCACTGAACAAACCATCTGACCTCACACATCAGCATTTCTATTTCTGTTCACGATAACGTTGGTTCCCCTCATCACCCAGACTTGGAACCTAGGTATCTAATCAGTCTCTGAGTCCTATCAACATTTCAAACCATCTCTTCCTTCCTCTTGTTCCTTCTGGCTGCACAACTGTACCCTGGCTGGTTGCTTCCCCCACGCTGCCTACTGAGCCCAACCTACTCCATTTACAGATGCAGATTCTTCCTGAAAATCCATGTCTTGCGTATTCCTCTTTTCCCCTTGCCAGTTCTAAGTGTTTCTACTAGTTGAATCCCTGGAACAGCAAATTCAAAGCCAAGATTGCCCTTAACTCTTCTTTTTTCCCTTAATATTTATTAATTTATTTGGCTGTGCTGGGTCTTAGATGCAGCATATGGGATCTAGTTCCCTGACCAGGTATGGAATTCAGGCCTCCCACACTGGGAGTGTGGAGTCTCAGCCACTGGTTCTCCAGGAAAGTCCCCTCTTAACTCTTTAAATTTCTCTCCCAGGATGTTCCTTCTGAAACTTTCACTCCTGTAATGGATCTGCTTTGCAGGTTTCAGCTTTCCTCCCACTGCCCCCACCTTGGCCCTGAACATACTTCTCAGCCACTTCCTTTCCCATTGAGCCTGTGCCCACTGAAGTATATTTCTTTCAAAAAGCCCAGCTTGCTGGCTTGTGTGTTGTTTTTTTTTTTTAAAAAAAAAAAAGATTTCAAGCCAGCCTTCTTTGTAAGGTCTTCCTCCAAAGACCAACTTGTGATTATTTACCTGTGATGACTTCTCATAGCACTTCTGTATATTCATTGGATTAAAGGAAGGGGTCTTATATGTTTCCATGATCTCTTTATGGAGTTATCCTCTTTCCTAATTACATACTCAACTTTTCAAAGACAGGGAGCACAGACCTCTTAGCTCCCTAATACACAGTGATAGTAAAAACGTTAACAATAATAATGACTAAACTGATTATCTGCCTGCAGACAATATAGCACAATCCTCACAAACACAATTTCTCAGGAAAACAAAGATGAGAAGTTAAAAGAAGCAACATGTACAGCTGCTCCGCATAGTTTTCATTAACTCTGCCACATTATTTTACATTTGATCTGAGCATGTAAAAAGTATGTGATAATATATTTAAAATTGTAAAGTACTATATTAATGAAAGGTATCGATCATTAACAACCCAGTCACTATGACTGGAATGTTTAAGAATTCTTCGTATGACTTCTACAAGCCCACAGAAAGGGTTATATTAAAGTAGTGGTTCTCAACTAGGGACCATTTAGGCCCGCACCCTCAACGGACATTGGCCATGCCTGGAGACGTCTTTGGCAGTCACAAGTGAGAGGGTATTGTAGGCTTCTAGCGGACAGAGAGCAGAGGTGCTGCTAAACATCATACAATGCACAGGAGAGCTATTCACATCAAAGCCTTATCTGGCCCCAAGGCCAGGAGCACTGGGGATGAGAAGCCCTGTGTTTCAGGGAGCTCACGGGGCAATAAGGACTGACCACTCCTGCGTGGGGCAGAGAGGAACAGCTCACTTCCTTGTAATGATGGACCCCTGTCCTGTCTTGTTTACAATATCCCAACACCTGCTCCACAAGAACTCTGTTCAGGTTCCTAGATGATGTTTTATTTTTATTTTTGTATTTAACTATTTCATTTTATTAGAAAATATTTGACTAGGTAATACATGTACACAGTACAGCCTTCATAAAGGACAAAAGCGTCTACAGTGAAGAAAAGCCTCCTTCAGTGCTGTGCTGTGGGCTCAGTTATGTCCAACTCTGTGACTCCATGGATGGTAGCCTGCCAGGCTCTTCTGTCCATGGAATTTTCCAGGCAATAATACTGGAGTGGATTGCCATTTCCTACTCCAGAGCCTTTACTGCCTATCCCCCCAAAAGTTCCCTCCCATATTTTCTTCTATAACTTTCACAATTTTATTTTTTACCTTAAAATCTTTGACTCATCTAGATGGATTTTTCAAATGTCTCTTATCAACATGCCCAGCCTAAGATGTCTAGGAGTTAACCTTCCCATTCAGATGTTTTGGAATTATTCTGATTTCTCAAAGAGAGAAGATACTAATCAACTTTAGAAGTTAATGAAGTTAACTTGCAACTCTCGATACAGGAGGACAGATTGTATTGTATATTACATTTAAAACTTTAACTTTAATTAGAACAGTGAGTGTCTTTGAGCAGTGTGAATACACAAAAGTAAAAATCTTTCTCATCAACTGAAAATTAATAGATTTAAGTAATTATGTACAGAGTTCAAAAACAGCCCCAAATATATTCCCATAACCTTTGAGAAAGTCTCTTTCTCTGCACATGTACTTTTTGCTCTAGCAATACCTCTGATCAAGAATTACTCCTGGACTAAAAACAATGAATGGCAATTTTTCTTTTTCAGTTCTAGCTAACTCCTGGAGAAGGAAATGGCAACCCACTCCAGTATTCTTGCCTGGAAAATCCCATGGACTGAGGGACCTGGTAGGCTACAGTCCATGTGGTCGTAAAGAGTCAGACACAACTGAGCGACTTCACTTCACTTAGCTAACTCCAAACAAAATACTCTAGGAAAAATAGAAATCATGACAAATTGAAAGCACCAGAGAGTGGTGCATGTAAAGAGGATCACTTATAAACATTTAAAAATATACCTTTATTTGAAAAGAAAAAATATAATAAAACACCATAATTCATACTAAATGATGTTACAGATTTTGAACAATTTTTTCTTTTTGGACTTTTTCTCAGAGAGAATGTGAAATCTGGATTAATGGATGCACTCTCAAAGATCTCTCTTGGTTCTAAAATCCTCTGGATTGTATGATTCTATATGCTGTTTCTTAATGGATCACTTTCAGATATAAGATGGGCTTGGAGGCAAGTCTTTTGAATAGGTGACTCAGACTAGTAGTCCTCAATTCTAACTACACATAGAAATCACCTTGGGAGCTTTGGAAAAATAACAGTGATAACATGCCCCCTAACACATACCAGTTTCTGATTCAGTTCATCTAGAATGGAATCTAAGCATGGATATTTTAAATGCTTTGAGAAGATTCTAATGTGTTGCCAATATTAAGATCTGCAGATTATATTAAAAGCTAAAAACAAATGTAGCTGGAGCCCAAGTAGGTAAGACAAATGAGCAAAGCAGATTGGGTACAAGAAACTGGAGAACATGTGTCTCATCTATTTCAGTAAAAATAAGACAGATCTTTGTATTTCTTTTCAAGAAATGCCAGAAATCAAGTTTTAAGTGAAATTCAGATACTTAAATGTTGACAGCTAATTCCAAACAATTTTAAGTCCTACAAAATACACCCACAGGTTTCACTTGGTTCTATAGTCACCAACATAATAAAACCAGTTCAATAAATCAAGCCCAACTTTTCCTCTGTGCTCTGTCCTGCCATTCTCCCAACTCAAAGCCACCTCCTCCCAGACCTCAGGCCATAAACTTTCCCTTTCCTTTTCCTTTCCATTGTTCTCTTCTTTTCCAATCTTCTTTGTCTTGCGTCACTCCTAAGAGATGGAAACTCTTTAATGAGATCCACACATTAAATCTTTATGTTGTCCTGGCTACATCACTCTGACGGGCTTCTTTACCTGGGAAAATTCAAGTCATAAATTGTAACCGGAGGCTGTGACCCTATTATGTCAACAACCAGTTGGTTTCGTGAAGTCAGGGAAAAAGCCAATCAAGCTCATAACTTCATATTACCAAGAGGTTTATCAAACGATATATGAAGTCATCATTTAATTTCTGCTTTTGTTTGGCTTGTTTCGAAATCTAAATCACTTATAAAAATTACCCTGGTGTTGTTTTTAAAAAATTCCCGTCTGAGCTCTATGCCAGGCCAACTAAATCTGAATCTCTGGAAATGGAGTCTGGGCATTGGTAGCTTTTAAAAGACTTTAGGTGAATCTGGTGTGAAGCCTGCTTTGAGAATCATTAATCTTGACCTATCTCCTAAACCTGCAGATTAGCAGAGTTTGAAGATATACTATGGCATTACCTGAGGCAGAGTTCCTTGACAGCAACCTGGGTGCTTGCAAAGTTTACCCAAACCATGGTGCTCTCCTATCACTGGATTCCTTTATGCTTAGTAAGTAACCCTAACACACAGGTGGTGAGCTGAAAACCAATGACTAAAATGCGATCAACTTCCAGATATAAGTTTTTTAAAAAGACTCAATTTAGGGCCATTGCTATAAGGTGTCCTTCTCTAAACAGTCTATGATGCTATTTGGATTTCACTTCCTTCTATGCACTGGCCTCCCCCACCCCCATACTACCTTTCATAGATGCACATTCACCCAGAAACTGAAAAGTTTCAGGTAGTTTCCATTAAGACATTTTCAGAAAAATATTTTTAAATGATTAAATATTCATTGAACAATAGAGGTAAGGGGAACTTTCCTGATCAACTTCCCCTACCTCCTCTGATGGATGAGAAACCTGAAGTCTCTTTTTAATTCAATACCTATGGAGCACTAACAGTGTGCCAAGCTCTTCACATCTGTTATCCTCATTAACCCTTCAGGATAACTCAATAAGTATTACTATCATCACCACCATCACTACCATTTAACAAATGGGTGGGGGGGTGGGGAACTGAGGCTCAGAGACGCTAAACAATTTGCCCAAGGTGTCTAGGCTGGTTAAGTTGAGACTGGGCACTTACATTTGACTCAAAGTATCTGTCCTTACTTCACCTTCCATCACCTGGACTGATGGTGCAAAATGTGAAGGATAAATATGAAAAGGCTAGGAGGTGATCAGTGAACACTTATTTGAAGAGGTAGAAAGTGGCATTTGGGCTAAGCCTTTTACAAATATATAGCATTTCAGCAGGCATTCCAGTTTGGAATCAGGATCAATACTGAGGCAGAAAGTGACAGGGAGGACATAGGGTGAACTGGGAGAAAGTGATAGGAAGAGGTGAGGAACAGATTGTGGAAGGTCCCAGGTGCCTGACTAAGGAATTTAGACTTTAACTGTAGGCAACTGATTTTGAAAACCAGTGGTTTTTGAAAACCACTGAAGGTTTTCAAAAGAAAGTTAGTTAAAAATTAGTTTGAAAAATACAGAGCCCATGGAAGTGTTGAGACTGAATTAGGGGAGCAGAGCTTGATACCAAGGAGGCCAACTAGAAGCCCATTACACCCCCTCTGCTGGTTACTTCACTCTTCACCCTTCACTGCGCTTGCATCTGCTCCCCTCAGTGTTGGTTTCTTCAAGGCACCTCCATGTCTGTTTCACCATTTTTGAATTCCAGTAAACTCCTTAAACTGCCCTGTCTAAATCAAGTGATAGAGACCTGAACCTGGGCAATGGGAATGGAGATGAAAAGATAGGTTTATGCATCATTTGCAGGTTCATGGTAACTGCTCAGAAACGGAGAGAAGGCAAGAGAGAAGAAGAAGCAGAGCAGGAAGAGACTCCGATGTTTCAACTTAGCAGAGGAACAAATAAGGACATCTAGAAAGAAAGGGATGGTCAACAGTAGCAATAAGTGGTGAACAAGATGTTTTGACTAAGATCTCAATCCAACAGGCATTTTTTAAGCAGTTATTCTGTGCTGAGCATTAGGGGAAAAAACTGTAAGACTAATTTTGCCCTCATGCATCATCCAGAGACAGAAAAAGACAGTCTAGCAATAATCAGGTGCCTGGTCTCTTAGTCTCAGGACAAATGTACCCTCTTACAAAGACCCACCTAGAGGGTCATCTATCTCAGGCATCGGCCTTCCTCACAAGATTTGATCTGGTTTTATTTGTTCACTGCAAGAACAAATCTCCAACATTCATTTATAGGTGTATTTATTGTCTGTTTCCCCCCAGGAGAAGGGACATCTCACAGAAACAGCAACTTTACCTTGCAGTTGCTAAATGCCACATAAACTCTCAGCAGGAAACACTCATTGAATATGTTCAGGGGGAAAAAAGTGAATTCACCTCATCAAGGTTAAAATCTCAAGCCAAACCAGGTGAGTTTCCTGATGTCTAAGGAACTTCTTAGAGAACTGAATAACTTAAGCAGAAAAGCCAATTTGAGGTTGGGGCCCAAACTGAAATCCAGGGGGCCTACCATGGATCAGAGCCCTGACTTGGCTGATAGATTTCAGGAATACCCAGCCGGCGAGAGATTCATTTAACAATGAGGCCAGCCAGCCACCTAGCTCAGGTTTTATTTCCGTCGTCGTTCTGACGTCAGAAAAAGCACGAGTTGCCGCAGTTTCTTCTATCAAGGTGACAAATTACAGTCTTGTTGGGCCCTGGAGTCTGCAAACGATGGATTTATTTTCTCCTTCCCCTTATATTAAAAAGTCTTAGACCCACGGCAGAGATGTCAGATCCTTTTCCAAACGCAAATAAATACGGTTTCCTAGCGCTCGGGTCTTTTTCAACTCATGAAATACATCACCAGGGATTCGTCGGCGAAAGTATGTGATCCTGGTGGCAATTAGGTTTTCACCGGAGAACCAGAGCAATAAAAACCCGGTCAGACACAAAGGACTCTCAATTGTAGCACCAACTTCCCAAGCCGAAAGCAGCCTGCGAAAAGCACCAGCCAAACGCCGTTACCGCGAAGTTCCTTTTGCCGCCATATGTATACCTGTACCTTCTAACTACAATTCAGTCCAAACCCAGGGCTGGGCACTTCCACAGGGAAGCGGCGCCCAGGCAGCCCTGTAGCCTGGGGGTACCAGTGGGTGCTGAAGCTCCGGGAGGGGAATGACGGTGGTGGGGGCGTGCACCGGGGCGAAGAAGCACTTTCCTCCGGGCACTCGCCCGGCGAGGTTAAAGGACTATTGTGGTAACATTTAGGGACGCGAGGGTGATTCGGGGGTCGGGAGAAGAGGTGGGAGTGCTAGGGAGGACCCTCGGCCCCCAGGCCCCGCACAATCGGTGCCCTTTTGTTCGCCAGCTCCAGCGGCTCCCAACCTTCAGAACCGCTCTTCTCTCCTTCCTTTGGGAAAGAAGCTCTTTGGGGCGGGAAAGGGCAGTGAGTCAGCCAGCATCCCTTAATAACCCCCTCATCCCCCGTCCCCCAACCTCACAGCCCGCATCCTCTCCGTTACCGAGAGCCGGGCAAAGCTCGAGAAGGGCCGGCGAGCGTGTTCCTGTTTACTCGGGCTCCGCGGCCAATGCCCGAGACCCAGCCGGCCGCACACTCAACGCCGGGGACATCACATGCCTTCCTTGGGGCTCTTAAGACACAGCAAATCCCCACAAACGCCCAGCACTCAACCACTCCTCGGGAATGCAGGGAAGCCCTCACCTCGGCGCGCTCTCTAGACCCGCGTGGTCCCTAACCCGCGAATGATTTAACCAGATCTGGCACCACAATCTCCCACTAAGAAAACAGACCCCAAAAGTAAGCCGCAGGCCACGCAACGCTGGAACCAGGGGCTCCACGCCTCTTTACACTGCCGCAGGCGGTCAGCAGAACCTTGGATCTGACTTTTCTCCTGGTAAAAGCAAAATCCGAACGCATCCGGCTCAGCCGCGCACTCCTTCCTTTCACGCTCGCAGAGACGACTTCGCGTTACCGCCTCCTCTCACATCTAAAACGTCCCTTTCCTCCCAACCGCTGCTCCCTCAGCTCTCCCTAGGAACAGGAAATCCTCTTACCTCCAGCAAAAAAAAAAAAAAAAAAAAACGGGGGAAAAGTGGTATCCGCCCTTCCCGGATTTTCCCCCAGCCTTGCGGTGTCCTTTGTGTCAAGGTCTGGCTGCCTTGGCGGATGAAAGGTGCCCTCCGTCAGCGAGGGCTGGGCGGAGAGGCTCGGCGTGGCGTGGCGGATTTCCGAGGAAGGTGAAGGGCGGCGACCTTCTGGCGGAGCGGCGTGCCGCCCCAGCCCGCGCACTCCTGGCTCTCCTCCTCCTTTCGGGGCCGATTGCATCAGAAGCTCCCCCCACCAGCAACCCTTACCCACGCGGTGCTCGCCAGCCTCGCACTTACATCCGCTCGCTCGGCCGCAGAGGGTCGCGAGTCAAATCAGAGTCATTCTCCTACTGGGGGACGCTTCGCCCTTGCGCATCCATGGCTCGCGATGGTTTAGCTGTTCCGGCTAATCATCCGCGTCTCGCATGCCGTCGCCTCCCCTCCTGCGCGTCCGCTCTTTAACCGAAGCTGCGTGTCACCGAGCGGTGCCCGTCACATGGTGTCTCTTGCCTAGGCGGCCGCCCCTGGCTGCCTCCTTGTCGCCGTCCGCCGAGGATGCGGCGACCGCGGCCGGCGGAGGTTGAGCATCGGAAAAAGAGAGGGAGCGAGGGAGGGGTTGCGGGGCGCTTGTGCGCCGGGAGCGCCGGCGGTGGCACCGGGAGCGCCGGAGGTGGCACCGGGAGCGGAGTGTGCGCGCAGCCTGGACACCTGCCCCACGCCCTCCCGGTGCCCTGCGGCGAGCCCAGAGCCCAGCTGCAGCGGTGGCCGGAGACTGGGAGCCCTCGGAGATGGAAGGGGGAGGGGGCTTGGAGGGCACGGAAGGAGGCGAGGAGGGCTGTGCGATGGGGGGCTGGGGGTGCACTGGGGGTACGCCGGGGCCGGGCCGGGGCGCGTGAGCGAGGGGAGTTGCATTGTGGGAAGGGCGCCGCGTGAGGATGGCCGCGGGAGTGGCTGCTCCGTTCACAGCCCTGCCAGCGGCGTGGGAGCCGCTAGCAGCGAGGGAGCGGCGTTGGAGGCTCCCTAAGGACGGCGCGGAGGAGGTCGGGGTCGGCGGGGAGCGCGGGCACCTCTGGAGAGCCTTTGTCCGTCACCCGCAGTGGGAGGCGCCTCCCCTCTTCCGGATCCAGCTCCCGCAGTCCCGGCCAGCCCCTACCCCGAGGTCTATGCTGAGGGGCTCTGCTGAGGGGACTGGGTGGCTTTGCTGAGCCGGGGCGCGCTCTGGGCTGGGGGGAGACCCCACGTGATCGAACCCCGGGCATGGTGCGTCGGGGGTCAAGAAGCCAGGCGCTCGAAGTCGGGGGTCAGCAGGGAGCGAGGGCGCAGGATGGAGGGGTCTGGGGCCGCTGGGCCCGTTTCCCTTTCTTTTGCTCTCTCTTTGTTCCGGGCACAGCCCCTCTGAACTGACGGGGCACTTCCTTGCAGTGCAGTGTGTTTCCTTAAAATGGCGACAGGAAATCCCACCTGCGCGTCAGCCAATGAGACAGTCAGCGCCGCGCGAATTTGCGGGGTGGAAACTCGAGCCTTCTATTGACAGGAATGGTTGCGTCTCCGTGTTCCATCAAAACAGGAAAAGGAAGGTGAATCATCTTTCAAAAATTAATCTACCAGGCGCATTTCAAAAGGGCAGACGGAGTAGCCTCTGATGGAGTGGCTATGGCTTTTTAGTCACCGCTGGAAAAGCGAGAGGAAAACCAGACGCCTCATAACTAGAATACTCGTTCCGTCGAGTGGCAGAAATTGGTTAGTTCAACAATGGCTGTCTGAGAACCCTATTCAGAAGGCCAGCTCTTGAACAAACCGGAAAAACTGAAAGACAGTGCAAACAGAAAGGGGAAGATGATGACTGGGGAGCCTCGCTCAAACAAACCTACCATCAAATTCTGCCTCTGACACTGCTTCCCTCGCCTGCTTAACGTTTGTCCTTAGTTTTGTTACCAAGTTTGTAAAAAAAAAAACAAACCCACAGTTAGTAGTACCCATATCATAATAATATTATACACGTCGCCAAAAAGTTGGTTTTTCTCCCCCCTCGCTTCCTAGAGGAAGCTAATTTAGAATGAAATTGCTAATTGTAAGTAAAGTGCACTTTGCCTGGCAGGGATAATGCTTATGAATAAGGTAGGAAATCTGAACATGCAAGATGATAGCCCGAGCATGGCTCCATCAGCTGGTTGAAATTAAATATTCCCCAGTGTTTAGAGAGCATGTCTGATCCTCTGATGGAAAGCTTATCTTTTGATTAGGGTTTTAACTTATTTCTGTGCACCTAAGGCTGCAGTTAGGTAGCATTTAAAAAAAATTTTTTAATTGTGGTAAAAGTCATTTAATATAAACATACTATTTTAACTGTATTTAACTGTATAGTTCAGTGACACTAAGTACATTCACATTGTTTTGCGACTCTCACCATCATCCATCTTGTGAATTTTTCAACTTCCTATACTGAAACTCTGTTCCCCTTAAACACTTAACTTCCCATTCCCCTTCCACCCCACCCACAATGTACTTTCTGACAGCTGTTGTAGCTACCTTATATAAGTGGAATCAAGCAGTATTTGTCTGCTCTTAATATGTATTGTAATGCATTTTTAAGGTTAATTTATGTCCTATAAACAGATTGTACCTTTTTTTCCCTCTCTGCTATCCCAGTAGACTCTCAGTTTTCCCTTTTATACATAGTAGTGTATATATGTCAGTCTCAAACTCCCAATTGATCTCACCTCCCTTTTTCCCCCTTGCTGTCCATACCTCTGTCCTCTGCATCTGTGTCTGTATTTCTGCTTTGCAAACAGGTTCATCTGTACCATTTTTGTAGATATGTGTGTTAATATACAATATTTGTTTTTCTCTTTTTGACTTCACTCTGTATGATAGTCTCTACATCCATCCACATCTCTGCAGATGGCACAATTTCATTATTTTTTATGGCTGAGTAGTAACTACTGGTGCCAATCAATGAATTTGGTAAAGTTGCAGGATACAAAATTAATGCACATAAATCTCTTGCATTCTTATGCACTAGCAACAAAAGACTGGAAAGAGAAATTAAGGAAACAGTCCCATTCACCATTTTAACAAAAAGAATCAAATACTTAGGAACAAACCTACCTAAGGAGGCAAAAGACCTCTACTCAGAAAACTATAAGATACTGATGAGAGTATTACTCAGCCATTAAAAAGAATTCATTTGAATCAGTTCTAATGAGGGATGAAACTGGAGCTCATTATACAGAGTGAAGTAAGCCAGAAAGATAAAGACCAATACAGTATACTAATGCATATACATGGAATTTTAAAAGATGGTAACAATAACCCTATATGCAAAACAGAAAAAGAGACACAGATGTACAGAACAAACTTTTGGACTCTGTGGGAGAAGGCGAGGGTGGGATGTTCTGAGAGAATAGCATTGAAACAAGTATACTATCAAAGGTGAAACAGATCACCAGCCCAGGTTGAATGCATGAGATAAGTGCTCAAGGCTGGTGCACTGGGAAGACCCAGAGGGATCGGATGGGGAGGGAGGTGAGAGGGGGGATCGGGATGGGGAACACATGTAAATCCATGGCTGATTCATGTCAATGTATGGCAAAAACCATTACAATATTGTAATTAGCCTCCAACTAATAGAAATAAATGNGAACACATGTAAATCCATGGCTGATTCATGTCAATGTATGGCAAAAACCATTACAATATTGTAATTAGCCTCCAACTAATAAATGAAAAAAAAAAAAAGATACTGATGAAAAGAGGACACAAACAGATGGAGAGATATACCATGTTCTTGGATCGGAAGAATCAATATTGCGAAAATGACTATCCTATCCAAAGCAATTTACAGATTCAGTGCAATCCTATCAAATTACCAATGGCATTTTTCACAGAATTAAAGCAAAAAATTTTGGAATTTGTATGGAAACGCAGAAGACCCTGAACAGCTAAAGCAATCTTGAGAAAGAAAAGCAGAGTTGGAGAAATCAGGTTCCCTGACTTCAGACTTCAGGCCACAGTAATCAAAGTAGCATTTTACAAACTGGATTCAGTAGTCGAATTGGGCTTCACTCCTTGCCAACTATTTTGCTAAGCACTTTACATGTAAATATTATTACATGTTATCCTTTCAACTACTCAATACCATATTAGCCTGTGTGTTAACAAGAAAACAGGTTTGAAGAAGCTAAGTTCACACTAAGACAATAAGTGGTGAAAGGGGGGCGTGAGGGAAGTGATTCTTATTCAGGCCCAAATTCAAAGTCCACACTCAGGCTTAACCATGATTCTACAACCATTTGCAACTAGACACTCTTGGGCTTCCAATGTGGAAAGATCTTCACCCCTCACCTGGGTTTTAGTTGACAATCTAGAAATGGAGTGTGAATGTCCCCTTGGAGGCTGAAGTGAAGAAGCTGCTGTGGAGAGGACTGCAGGGAAGGAGGATGGGGATGGTATTCAGGAAGAGTGCCCAGCCGCTTGTGTGGCTTTTCCTCCAAAACCACTTGTAGGTGAAACTTCCTGTGATAGGTCCTTTCAGTAGCTCAGCATTTAAACCCAATTGCTGTGGTCTCAAATGGAGGCAGGGGGTATCGTGATGATGACTCTGCTGTTCTCTGTGTGCCTCTTGAGAGCCAAGCAGCAACATAAGCACCTAATAGATGGTCTCTCGTTTAATCCTCACATCATTCCTAGGAAGTGCAGTCCATTATAACCCCTGATTCAGAGTCTAATGAATTTATTCCAAGTCCACCCAGGTCTAACTGGCATATCTAGGTCTTACATCCAGCACTGATTCCAAAGCCAGTTTTCTATGCCTGGCTCTAAAATGTTCCCTGATGCTGGAACAACCCCTTTGGAGGACCAAGAGGATAAAGGATCCCCTGCCTTCACATGGGGACCGCTACCCTATTTCCA